CAGGCCAAAGTCTGCTCTCTGGAAGTCCAAGGTGGCCGTTCTGCTGGTCCCCCTCCTTACCTCTCTGAGAACTGAAAACTATCATTTCATGATCACTGTGCCCAAGATGGCCTCCAACCATCGCATCACCCACCAGGCCTTCTCTGTTCACAAACAAGAGGTCCAGCGGGCGCCGTCCCTAGCTGGCTCCCTCACCAGCTGTGTCTTCCACACACTCCAGGAACCTGCTGGACTGTCTCCTCTCTGCTGTGTTGTATTTCCAGCAGACATCTGGTAAGTTGACGTCCCCCATGAGAACAAGGGCTACTGATCGTCAGACTTCTTCCAGCTTCTTATAGAATATTTCATCTGTCTCTTTGTCCTGGTTGGGTGGTCTGTAGCAGACTCCCACCATGATATCTGCCTTGTTGGCCTTCCCCCCGATTCTCACCCATGAACACTCAACCCTATCGTCACCATCGTTAAGCTCTAGAGAGTCAGAATGCTCCCTAACATAAAGGGCTACCCCACCGCTGCTGCTTCCTTGCCTGTCCCTTCTGAAGAGTTTACAGCCGTCCATCCCAGCGCTCCAGTTGTGCGAGTCATCCCACCCTGTTTCCATGATGGCAACTATGTCATAGTTTTCGGGCTGCACAGTGGCTTCCAGCTCCTCCTGTTTGTCGCCCATGCTATGTGCATTGGCGTAGCTGTGCTTCAGTTGGGCTGTTGTTCCTACCACCTTTCTGGGGGAAGAAGCCCTGATTCCTACGTGACCGTTCTCAGGTGCTTCCATGGTTTCTAACACATCCATAGCCCTTGCATCTTTTTTTCTTTGTGGAAGCTGTTTTGATGCAGGGCGTAGGCCGACTTAACCTTGGTGACACCTCCAAGCTAGATGAACCATCGTCCTCATCATTGTTCAGTTCCACTTGCAGAGCCTCGTACCTGTTTTGCAAGGGCACCTGGGAGGGTGGGGCAGTCACAGAGGAGACGCGCCTGCTGCGCCGGGCAGGAGCGTGTCGCCATTGCCCCCTATCCCTTGAGTCACTGTTCAGCCAGGCGGAGAGAATAGGGAGTCTTCTGTGCCATGGCTCCTGTCCGCCTGTTGGGCCTGAGGGATGGCAGGGTGCGATTCCAGTAATCTGTGTCTCTCTCGCACTCCCTGATGCTCGTCGACACGCTCACCTCCTCCCGGAGCTCTGTTGCTGAGCGGAGGAGCTCCTCTCCCTGGGCGCAGCTCGCACAGGGGTGCTCACCTCCCACAGGGGTGCTCACCGCTGCCGTCCAGCACTGGCCTAAGAGCAGGGCACACCCTGCAGCCTGATGCTTCGGTGGCAGCGTGTTCCCGCCGGCGCATTGTCTGGGCAGCTGCGTCAGTCGTGGTGGGTGCAGAGCTTGGTGAGTCCACGGCTTTCTACTGGGTGGAGACCATTGCTCCCTGGTCGATCTTCAGTGCCCTTCCTGCACTCCCTTCCGTGCAAACTGCCGCACCATGCCCTTACTGTTTGCCCGCCCTGGTTGCTTGCACTCCCTAAGGGCTACTTTTATATGTGTTGGGGGGCTTGGCCGCTGTTGCTCCTGACCCTGCCCAGGTCTCATCAGGCGATGTCCCATGAGCTGTGGACTCCTGGGGCTCCTCGTGGCTCTCTTGGCTCCCCTGAGGCTCCCCAGGATCGGGAGGCCCCGCCGTGCACGGTGCTAGAGCACTCCGCTGCCGATCCTGCCGGCTCCGGAGCTGCTCACCTTGGCAACTGGTACCTCTAATTTACTTGCTCATAGCCAGCACTCTTCCCTGTCCTTCTTCCCAGCAGCAATTTCAGGTGGTTGCTTTGGAAATAGGGTTTTATTAAGTACCGTGGTTGAAAATACAGAGAATGTCTCAGGTAAAATTGCCTGCCAAGCGGCTGTAAGGAGCTTGTGAGATATGCTACCTACTTCCAGAAGTGTTCTTGATATGGTTTTCTTCATATAAGTGGGTGTAAGAAAAAATTTGGCATTGGGTGGTATAATAAGAATGTCTTGGTTCCTGCTTTTATATTTTGGTATCGAGGCCTGCAGATTATTTTGCTCTAGCCTCCAGAGTAGATCTTTGAGTTGCGTGAAAAAAACTCCAAGAAATGTCCTGACTCCCGGTGACAGTCGTCTTAAAAAAAGCCCTGGGATTTGTCTATGTCGAAGTTCATCCCTTCTTGTCAGGGAGAGGAGCAGCCAGGCCACCTTTTTCCCCGATACCCGGCATCTTGCAGGATCACCCAGGGGTCTCTGTTCTCCCGCAGCCAGCGGCTCTGCCCCGCTCATCATGCTGGAGCGCTACCAGGACGGGGGGATCCAGGTGGCCTGCCGCTCGGCCGGCTGGTACCCGCAGCCCCAGGTGCTGTGGCAAGATCCCCGCGGGCGGCATCTCCCATCCCTCTTGGAAAGCGTTACCCAGGACGAGAGCGGCCTCTTTGCAGTGGAAAGCAGCATAATCCTCACCAGGGGCGCAAACCAGAAACTCTTCTGCTCGGTCCGACATGCCCTGCACAGCCAAGAGCAGCGATCGGCATTTTACGTATCAGGTGAGCAGAGGCCGAGGCATCGCCCTGTTAACGTTCCCGATGGAGCTGCGCTCGGAACGCGCCACCAGCAGAAAATCTCAGGCGCATTTTGCAAGCTGGGCGTTCAGTGCATCGCGTGTATTTTGCACGCTGCGTGTGCAAACGGCCGCGGCTTTGGGCAGCGTTCGTGCAGGTGTGCTGCCAAAATTCACCGGTTCCCTTTTGAAGTGCGGATTTAGGGGGGAAACAAGACAACCCTCATTGTAGCAGGGTTTCTATAGACACCTGGGTTAAATTCAAACATTCATAACACTGGAACCAAACAAAAAAGGAGAAACCAACCCATGCCCTTAGTCCCACCTGCTGTGAAATCCTGTTCTGCTGGTTTGGGATGAGAAATAAATGGTCATGTCTCATTTTAGCATCTGCATATATCGAATATATTTTTATTTTTCCCTTGTCACACAGAAAAGCTCCTTTTTTACTGGAAGATAGATTTGGGGTGGGGAATATATCAGGACAGAGATGCAATGGTGAGCTGGACTAACCAAACACCAAACGGCACCGCGGTATCACGTGCCTTCCAGCCGCCTCCTGTTCCGTCTTCACTTTGGGAATGAACAATTTTGGGAGACTTTATTTCCCTGGGGGGCCCATACCTTTCTCCTGGTGACACTGCTCTGCACTGGAGTGTTGCTGTTGATGCATACATTACCCTGTTTCTCATCCTGTGTTGCCTAATGAAATATAAAATGTTTTTTTCCAAAGGAGAAGAAAGCATGATTTAACTGGAAACAGTTTGGTTAGAAATCCATTTTCCCTTTAAAAATCCCTCACAACATATGCAGACAAAACACCATCAGCCTCAGACAAGTGCTAAATTGCCAAAATGGATTTTTTTTTTTAACGTTATTTTTTGTCGGTTTGTGGAGTAGAGTCAGGAGCTGATTTTCGCCCTCGATGGGATTCAGACCTGCTTGGGACGAGCTTGTATGAAATAATCTACTTTCCATTGCTGCTTGCAGTGTAACCTAACCCCTCTGGGGATTTTCTTTTTCAGATCCCTTTTTCCAAAACGCCCATCCTTGGATGACCGCCCTGGGCGTGGTCCTGGTTGCTGTGGTCGCTCTCCTTGTTATCGCTGTTTATCTCTTTAAACTGAAAGGTATCATCCTGGCGCAGGGGTTGGGGAAGGGGGCTGGGTGCCCGTCCTATTCAGCCGCCTCCGGTTTTGATGGACAAGTGGGTTTGAGAACTGCTGGGATGGTCCCAGAATTTTGTCTCAGTGCTTGGACACACGTACGGTGCCAGGGAACTTAAAGACCCAGGGATTTAATTTCTGGCAAGAAAATAAAGGTTGTTTCTCCAACAAAAAGGCTAGCAAAGAAGGAAGCGGGCGTTAAAGCAGCGTGAGCCAGCCGTTCCTCTGCCCCGGCCGAGGGTGGATTCTGCCCGCAGAAATGGAGCAATAATTTGCCTGGCCCTGCAAAAACACCCTGGCACTTTTGGGGGCCTGGCAGGGCTCCCTTTCCTTCTGAAAGCCCCCTCTGGGGGTAAATAATGCAGAGGAAAAAGGAAACTGAAATCCTCTATTTCTTTCCAAAAGGAGATGGAGCCGGTGGGTCGTGCGGCACTGCAGCACCTCCAGGCCCCGCGGCCTCTCTGCCTTGCAAGCGGCTGTAACGCCCACTCTAGTTTAATCAGTGCTCTTTGGAAGGGATGATTTTTTAAAATTATTTACATTTCTTTCTTTCCTTCGTAGGAAAGCATGAGAAAAAAATAGGTAAGCTTTACTTTCCCTTTTCCAGAAACTGGAGAATTCCCTCAAACAGAAGAATTCATGGGGCACGTTTCTTGGGGCTATGGGGGAGGGAAATAGTTTGGCTAGTGGCTGTTTGAAATTGTGAAATTAATTTATGAAATGATGAAATTATGAAGTCCTGTTGTAATTTTACAGAAAGTCATTGCAGAACCAAAGAAAGTGTGAACAGACATCGTACAACAGTGAACTTTGCTTTTCAAAGGGCTCTCGAGGTTCTTCCCCAAGCTGGAGGAAGCTTTGGGGTAGCACATTTCATCTTGCAGGGGCCTCAGCTTTGTCTCAGCACTGAAAAAACATAGGGGCAGGATGGATAGGTAGCACTGACGGTGAAATTTAACCCCATGCTCCTCCCTTGTCAGTGCAAACCTGCCCCTTGGCTGCTGCCCTGGAGCTGGAGCCCTTCCTCAGGTCTCCAGCAACGCAGCGCTGGCCTCTGCCCGAGGTGGATTCAGGGAGGGTGGGCGAGATCTCCAAAAGCCTTGAGAAGAAAGGGCTTGAGGAGCTCCTGGGCTGAAGCTTTTCCATTGTGAGCAATTTCAGCCTCCTCCCCACCCCAACAAGCGTATCATCGGGGGAAAAGGAATCGGCTTTGGTGGTGATGCTCTGTTCTCGTTTTGCTTTTCAGCGACGCAAGAGGCAGCACTGCGTAAGTCTGGCTCCCGTCTTCCTGGTGAAATCCTCTGTGGAAACTTTCAGACTTTTTTATGCATCCTCTCATTCTGTCTGAATGTCCCTTTTAGGCAGATACTTTACTTCCCCTTCCCCGTAATAATGTGAAAATTCAGTCTGAAAAGTCATTAGGATTTTTTTCCCTGAGTGGCTGTCAATGCTTTTTAACAGTCTCATTTTAATTTAAGTAGTGAAATAGTACTGAAAAGTTACTGATTTTTAGGGGAAGATTACAGAAACCTAAGCTGTTGAGAAGTTTCTTATAAAAACGTAGATTGTTTGATTACCAAGAAATTAAAAATAAACAAAAGCACTTGAAGAGGGCATATATTTTTGTTTGCTTGCTTGCTTGTAGCTTGTAGAATTGCCAAGAAATAGTCCTTTGGCTATTAAAAATGAGCTCTTGCTAAATTGGTGCCAATGCAGGGGGAAATAAATGATGGGGAAAATAAATAGTCAGCTCACTCAGGAATCATGAGCATCCTTGCAATCAGAGTATGGATCAGTGCATCTGCCACCTTCATCGCAGCCTCTCCTCAGGGAAGGGACGGTGTCAAATAGTAACGCGTGTGTGTTTCTGTTTGTTGTTCAGGGGACCGTGATGCAGAAATCGGTGAGTCTCCTTCTCTTCCTTACAAAGGATTTTTTACAGAGTCTGTGTAGGGTGGTGTGGTTTGTTTTGGGTTTTTTTTTCACTTTTAAAGTGTGAAGTGAACCAAAAAGTGATTGGGGGATAGGGGTGAAAGGAGGGAGTGAATTTGAGAATGAAAAAATTAAACATCGTTGAGGACGGTGTCTGGGATTGGGGACGGATGACCGCAGCGGTGGCGCAGGTGAGGTGCGAGTGCCCTAGGACAGGTCCCTTGTAGGTGAGGCACCTCCCAGAGACGTTTTCCTGCCCCAGATTTGAGCAGGCCAACCTGCACCATCACCTGAAGAGCAGACCTCCAGGCTGGGGCAGGAGAGGGCTTTGCATTGCCAAGCGTTGGCAGAAACCTGCCCTCCTGCATGTGCAGGCAGTTATGGGAGAGGTTATATCCAAATCCACATCCCACAACCCATTTGTGCTGATCTATCTTCTTTTTCAGAGAAGCAAGCTGAAGAACTTGGTGAGTAGCGTTCCCCTTCCTACATGGGAGACTTCAATTGGGCCATTTTCTCCTCTGGGTTTTGCACGTACGCCCTGGTTTTGATTTTCCTTTTGGGAAAGGAAGAGGTAGCAAATACTGAACTCCTTTCAGAAACATTATTTTCCTTTATGTGTTTTTAAGCTATTCCCTGTAACCCTTCTATACGAAGAAGAGAATTCGTTCAGTTTTCAAAGAAAGTACAAACAGACCATAAATATATGTCTGAATCAGGACATGGTTATATTTGTAGAAAATGGATGGAGCCCTTTCCTGTAGCTAGACATTGAAGGTTTGAAGCTACACGCTGTGAGATGACTTTCACAAATATAGCAACAATTCAGGAAATGTGCAACTACGCTGGCATATCGTTATCCTGAGCTAATCCAGTACAAGTGTGTTCAGATTACCTCTCACCTCTGTCTTCTTTTTTTTTTTTTTTTTTTAAAAAAAAAGCATGGAGAAGATATGCTGTGCCTATAGAAGAAGGTAATTAAAGTTTGATCTTTCAGGGTGCTGGATCACCTTCCCTGCTCTAATCTCCCTTCCCTGTAGTTCCCGTCCTGCAGTGATGCTGGTGGGACCAGGGATGCTTCTGCTGACCCTCACTTTACGGGAGGAAGTGTAACACTCAGACCCCTTGTTCGTTTGGTGCATGCCCAAGTTTCAGGCAAATCTGGAGTCCTGGTCCTCAGTGAGCAGTGCTGGCCGTGTTTTAGAGACGTGGGGACTTCTTGAGCCTGGAGGTCTGCTGACGATCCTCTTCCCTCTTTGCAAAATGTCATCTCTGCTTCATTTTCTGTTCCTTGTACTAATATCGTTACCTTGCGCAGCTCCCCATGCCGCAGTCTGCCAGCTATCGTGTGCACCCATTTTCTTCTTCCTTATGCAGCCCCAGCAAAGATCTCTCCTGGGGTGAGCTCTGCCCTGATGCGTTGGCTCCATCTCTCCTGCAGTGAAGGTGGTTCTGGATCCAGACACAGCCCACTGCGACCTTGTCCTGTCTGATGACTGCAAAAGCGTGAAACGCGAAGACACGCGGCAGGACATCCCCGACATCCCCGAGAGATTTAACCCGTGGCGCTGCGTTCTGGGCTGTGAAGGCTTCACCTCGGGGAGACGCTACTGGGAGGTGGAGGCGGTGGATGGAGGAGGATGGACTGTGGGAGTCTCTAGAGAAGACGTGAAAAGGAAGGGCGAGATTGAGTTTAAACCGGAGGAGGGCATCTGGGCAGTGGGGCAGTGGGCAGGGCACTTCCAAGCTCTCACGTCCCCTAATCGCACTCTCCTTCCTGAAATCCAGACTCCCAAGCGGATCCGGGTCTCTCTGGATTATGAAGAGGGACGGGTGGCATTTTTCAGTGTTGATGAGGAGATTCCCATCTTCACATTTCCACTGGTATCATTTGAGGGGAAAAGAGTTCACCCTTGGGTCTGGCTGGGTCCTGGGACGTGGCTCAAAATGTGGCCCTGATGAAGGGGGGGATTAAGAGAAGGCTTTTTTAGGGCACCTCAGGAGTTCAGGCTCGGAAGGATTTAGGTTGGAAGGAATTTGTGGAGGTTTCTGTTGCAACCACAGCAGGGCTGACCTCAAAGCTGCCTTAGGTGTCTTTGGACCTTGTTCAGCTGGATTATGTAGGATCTCCAAGGGTGGACATCCCGTTACCTCTCTGGACCTCTGTCCTGGTGCTGCACCTCTCTCAAGGGGAAGAATTAACCCTTTACGTTTGGTCAGAGCTTCCCCAATTGCAACTCGTGACCGTCACCTGTCACCCTCGTTCCCTACCTGTTGAAAAACACTTCAACTGAAAAGACACTCCCCCAACAGGGATCACTTGTTAAATGTACAGAATAAAGTTACTTCAGCCGGATTTGTCTGTACGTGTGTCAGCACCAAACGTCTGTGTCTGAGGCATTGCCTCCACCTGCCTGTAGGGAGTTGCAGGCACTTTTGAGAAAATGGTTCACCGCGTCCTGCAGGAGACGACGAAGGCATGTCAGTGGGATTGGTCCATGGCTGTGCTTGTCCCCGCGCCTGCCTGCCGCACAAGCCCAGGTGACGAGCTCACCTGTGAGCTGGAGACATCTAACACTGTGAGATGGATCTCACCTTTGGTCACTCATTCTGCGGGAGGAAAAGGTGCTTTTGCTTACAGTGCTGAGGAGCGTGGAGCAGGCTCAGAATGTCCCATGTGGGCTGAAATGAAGCTGGAGAAACCAAAAATTCAGATGAAGAAGGGCATCTCATATTGAGGCGTGTTTTGGGGCAACTCCAGATTATTTTGCTGTAGTGGAAACTGCCACCTGCAAGAGGACAATAGAAGTATGTGCTTTCTCTGAGGCCAGACATGGTTTCGCACCAGATCCTCCATTCAACAGATGTCCAGCAAGCATGGACCTTCCCAAGGGAAGGCTTCACCATTACTGCTGAATTCATGAGCTTCTCGGAAATGAAAGAGGATGCACTTGCATGTGTGCCAGGGTAGGTCTGTTCATGCTCAGCCAAGGGCAGCTCCATCCTCCCGCCATGGAGGAGCTTGAAGGGAACGGCTCAGAGATGCTATTAGGGCTTTCACCTTTCTCTCCAGGCCTGCCCGGCCCCCAAGAGTGATGCTCCCAGAGGCTGGTGGTCGTGTCTCTGCTTTGTTCCTTGCTGTACACAAGCCCACACAAAGCAGCAGATGCCAAATCAGCTGTGAGGTCTGCAGTAGCCGGGGGCTCGTCAAAGGACCCAGTGACAGAGTGCTCCAAGGCCCCCTGTGAACAGTGTCACAAGTCTACAGGGACAGGCAGCATGAGGGTGGCCCTTGCTGCCAGGGCCTGAAGGGTGCTTAGATGTCCGTGTCCCTAAAGAAGGCTGGTGGGAACATGAAGATACAGACCCCGCTTTCTGCGCTGGAGAAGGAGCACCGTGCTCCTCAAGCCAGGGGTGATGCCGTTGCATGTTTCTGTGACCCTTGGGCACCGTCAGCTCATGATCTGCTTCCTATTTCCCAGAGTCACATGTGGTGCTGGTGAGGTGCTAAAGAAAATGGGAAACAACCTGGGTCACCTTGTTCCTTCCAAACACCCACTGGAAACAGTCTGTGGGTGAAATCAAGGTTGGGCAACAGTCTCATGGGAGATCAACCCCCAGAGTGTGAGAACAGGCTCTGGACCAGGGGAGGAAGCTGATGGGCTGGACAAAATGTGAACCTGGGACAGAAATGAAAGAGTGGACTGCAAACGTGGGGCAAAAGCACCATCACTGCAGGATGGCTGATGTAACCCTCATCTTCCTCTTGCCTTCACCTGAGGGAAGCAGGTTCAGCAAGGAGACACCGTCCCTGCTCCTTTACTCTCCCCACCTGGATGTCAGGACCCCAGGATCTCTCCTGGCCTCCTCCTCACTGCTTGTAACCAGCCATGGGAAGAGTGTGCCTGCAGATGACTCCTGGCCTGTGCACCCCCTTCCTCCCGTACAGCGTGCCCCTTCCCCTTCAGCAAGGCTTGTCACAGTGGACTTCTTGGGTCTTCTGCTCCTTCTCCTTCAGGGAGTGAAGCAGGTGGGGTGAAGGACCTTTTGAAGGTTCAAGGTGTCCTGGAAAAGGGAGACAGAGAGGCAGAAGCAATGATAAGAGCTGTGGGTTGGGAATGTGGGGCCGTGGCATGGAAGACTGTGGTGTCACGGAGGATGCCTCACCCTGGGGTGAGGGTAAGAGTACTGCTGTGGAGGAGGGGAAACCACATGCAGGCTTAATCCCTGGGATCCCATGAGAAGGCCAGGGTTACATTTGCCCTCTTCCTTCTTAACCCCTGCTTTCCGTTGGAAACTGCTGATGCAGAGCCAAAAAAACAGACCCTCGAGTTCTGCCTCTGCTTCTGCCTCCAGCCCTCTTGCTCCAAGCTGAACTAAAATGCCTCGGCAGCAAGTGGGCTGGGGGTGAGAGAGAGGCTGGGTGAGGACGCAGAAGGGACGGCTGACCCCAGTGGACCAGAGGGATATTCCATACCATGTAGCATCATGCTCAGCAATAAAACTTGGGGAGGGGAAATTTTTCCAAGGTGCCATTGCTTGAGAACTGGTGGGGCATCGATCTGCTGGTGGGAGGTGGTGACTGAATGCTTTTGCATCACTTCTTTTCTCTCTCTCTTTCCTTCACTCATTAAACTGTCTTTATCTTGACCCACAAAAGTTTTTTTTCTCACTTTTGCTTTTCCAGTTCTCTCCCCCATCCCTCTATAGAGGCAGTGGGTGAGTGGCTGGTGGGTGTTGAGCTGCTGGCCAGGGTTGACCCACCACTATCCACAAAAAGGAAAACCAGTAGAAAACCAGTATCGCCCCTCCTCTGTAACATCTGCCCTTGCAGCTTTTGGGTGACCCTCCAGCCCTGCAGCCCAAGATGCTCTGCAGTGACCTATGGGCCGGGGAAGTGGAGACAGCTTGGCTGCAGAAACAGACAGCAGGAGGAACTGCAAAACTGAGCTCCTTCCTCTGCCTCTAATCTCCTTGCCTGGTCTGTGCTGCGGCTTCTCCCACAAATGTTGAAGCTGCCTCTCAGCTCCCCAGAAGAGCCATCCTCGTTTTTCCTGGCAAGCCAGAAAGAAAGGATCCCTGGCCTACACCACAAGAAACGAGCTGAGGTAACGTGCAGAAACTGTTTCTCACTGTTATGCCAACTAGGCTGCGGTCCCCAGGTTGAGGTGCCTCAAGGATCGAAGCCCAGAGCGTGCTGAGCAAGAGCTGCCTTGAAGCAGAGGAAGGGGCAGACATTTGTGCAAGGGATCCTCTTCCAGGGATGTAAAAAGGTGCGGCCTGGGGGGCAGGGGGCATGCAAGGGCTCCTCCCCTGTGCAGCCCTCCCTCCTTTACTGTGTAGAAGCAAGACATTATGGAGCTGCTCTCTGGCTGAGACTTTTCCAAGGAGAGGGTGGTGTGGCAGCACAGTTAAAGTGAGGGCTGCGCGGAAGGACGGGAGATGGGTTTGGCTACTCAGGAAGCCGCAGCTCCCTTCCCACAGCTGGGTGTGCTGATAGAGGGCCTGGGCAGCCCCGCCACCAGCGCTGCTGCCAGAGCAGCGCCCGGTCCTTGGGCAGGAGGGAGGCGAAGCAGCAGGAGAGCAAATGCTGGAGGGTCCACGGGTGAGTCCCAAGGAAGCGATGTCCATCAGGGGCCGGGCACTTGGAGTAGCCACATCTGTGGGTGGGAAGCTCTTTTTACATGATTCATGCCCCTACCTTGTGAAGCCTTGTGAACCCTCAAGCAGAGGGCTCAGCTGGCGCTGGGTAAGAGCATATTTAGGGAGCGTCTTCCAGCACATGGCTTTTCTGAGCTGGGGTTGGTGTGGGTATGCGGGGACGTGAACACCATGGAGCCACTGCTTTTGCAGTGCTGAGGGCAGCAATGCCACCCCGGTGGAGGAGGCACCGCCATGAGGAGGTGCGTGAATTGGGTTCTCCCTCCCATGGAGGAGGATGAGGCGAGCAAAAGGGCAGAGGTGGTTTCTCCTTGCTGAGCCTGCTGCCCACCAAGGATGAGATGATGGGGTGTGTGCTGGCAATAGGTGTGGGACTCATCTCTCCCTTCCATCCTCCCAGGGAGGAGCTGCAGGGCTCAGAGGGCTCCCAGAGGGTCTGGCGGGGGATGCCAGCTCTGCTGTGGAACGGTGCTTGCGCGGGAAGAAAGGTGACGTGTAGGTGCATGCCTGCCTGTGCCCATACCTCTTGGCTTTCCCCTCCAGACCATGCAGGTCCTTGCTCTGCTCCCGCTCGTCCTCCTGGCCCTGCTGCCCACAGCCGGCACTACCAACCCAGGCCAGTCCTGCCCGTCAGAGATTAACAAGGTCAAGGACCTCCTGGAGGTGAACTGCACAGGGCAGGCTCTCAGTGTGGTGCCCCCAGACCTGCCCGCGGACACGGGCATCCTGCTGCTCAGCACCAACCAGCTGGTGTCCCTCTCCACCGCTGCCTTCCTGCCCCTCACCCAGCTGCAGGACCTCGACCTGACCGACAACAGGCTGGTGGATCTGCACACCGGGCCCCTGCTGCTGTCCCTGAGGGAGCTGATCCTCTCCCACAACATGCTGAGGACCCTGCCCACCCTGCATGGCCTGCCTGAGCTCACCCACCTGGCCGTGGCCCACAACAACCTGGTGACGCTGGCCCCGGGGGCTTTCCTCACTGTGCCATTGCTGCAGGACCTGGACCTGCGAGGGAACCAGCTGCAGACACTGCCCCGGGAGGCCTTTGTGGGGCTGAGGGAACTGAAGTACTTGGACCTCTCAGACAACCTCCTGGCGGAGCTCCCTGAGGAGCTGCTGCAGGATCTGCAAAAGCTGGAGACCCTCTGGCTCTCAGGGAACCGCCTGCAGACCCTGCCCACCAACTTCTTCCCTGAGGGGCACTTCTTTGCATACGTCTTCCTCACTGAGAACCCCTGGCATTGCAGCTGCGACCTGCACTACCTGCGGACCTGGATCCGGGAGAACTATGGCAGTGTCTACCAGCCGGAGCGGGGCCTGGAGAATACAAAGGTGGAGGTTGCCCCTGAGAAGGTGCTGTGCCACAGCCCCCCTGAGCATTTGGGGAAGCCCATCATCTACTTCAAGTCCAACTGCCACAACATAGGGGATGCAGTTGAGGAGGAGCAGGATGACTACTATGAGGGGGAAGAAACGATGGAGAAAACTACCAGGATCACCACCTTCCCCTCACATCCATCCATCCCCAAAGAGCACACTACCATGCCCCATGCTGTTACCTGGCCTCCCCTCGCTACCACAAGACCTCCCCTCAGCACCCTCGCCCCAAGCACTTTGCTTGCAATGACCACAAGCACCAGAGCTCCCAGCACCACCGGTCCTGCGCCAGCCAGTCCCACTGTCACACCCACACAGGCCCCCAGCACTGCCGCCACCCTCATTGCTGCTCCTGCCAGCACCCTCCACAGATCCACCACCCTCGCTTCCACCACCTCACTGCCGACCACCATGATCACCAGACTTCCCAGCACCAGCAGCCATCCCCAAACCACCCTCACCACCAGCACTACCAACACCTATCCCACTCTCATGGTGTCCACTAGCACATTTCCCACCACCTCCACGGCAGTGCCTCCTACTACCCTGCTAGAGACCTCTTCCACTGTCAGATCTTCATCTCCTCTGATGTCAGCCACACCAGTGGTCTCTACCACCGTGCTTTCCACTCATGCCCCCACACTGCCAGCTCCCCTGGGCACCACACGCTTCACCCCGCCTGCACCTTCCCCTCCACCTCCTCCCCTCTGCCCGTGCTCCACCCCAGGACCAGCCGTGCTGCGCTCGTGGGCAGGTGGGGAGGGTCCACAGTGGGGGCAGGGAGTGCTGAGGCATTGCTGCCTATTGCACTGGGTGCTCTACCTGGCCTGCTTGGTTCTGCTGGTCCTGACCGTGCTGGCTCTAGCGGGCTTGCTGGCGTGGATGTGTCTGGTGGGACTGCCCTCCTGGCACAAGCCCCTGCAGACCCAGGAGGTGCAGTATCCGCTGAGGAGGTGGAGGGAGTCGACAGAAAGCCCTGTGATGCATCTCAGCAGCTTCAAAAGCCCCCTCCAGCGCCCCATGTTCTGTACCATCAAGGAAGTAGAGTTGTGCCCTGAGGTCACTTACTGCACGATTAAAGACCTGGGGACACAGCGCAGTCCTCCTGCAAGTTCCTCTTTCTGCACCACAAAGGAGTTGTGGGTCCACCACAGTCCTCTGAATGCCTCATTCGAGTCGTTCTCCAGGAAGCTGATGGTCACAAACCTCAGCTCCCTGAGGACCCCTTCTGCTTACAGCCTGGACAGGGGTGTCAAGGCCATCGGTGATGTCAGAGTGAAATATGCTGGCAACACCTTGTAAATGCTTCTGTACATTCAGAGAAAGAGATGGAGGGTCGTGGCTCTGCTTCGTGTACCCTTGTTTTACAAGGGAAAGTTCTGCTTGCCCGGGGGGAAGCCATCCAGCTCCTTCCCTCACACACTGAAATAATTACTTGGGTACTTGGCAGAGGGAGAAGATGTCCGAAACCAGTTCGTGATAGTTTGGGGCTGACACCGCCTGCTTTCGGGGTGAGCTTACTTTGTACTCCGGGTCCCAACTGCTTCTGTTCCAATGAGGCACATAAAGCTGCGCTATGCTTTCAACTCAGTGCTGGGTTGTTAATCACAGAATAAATATTCTCTTTGCCTGAATTTCAAGTGGGTGCTACTTTCATTTCATTGGACCTCCCATAGTCCTGGCAGGATACAGCGAATGACAAAATTGTCTTAAATACTTGGAATAGTGAAGATGATAGAGAGGAAAAGTCTGCTTACACCCAGCTTCCTGACTTTTGCCCCAAATGTATGGCCCTTCACTGTGGGATTGAATCACGAGGGAAAAGCATCCCACTGTCACGTAATAAGTTCAGGAAACGGTTGGTGTCGATGCCTCTGCATCATCCGTCATGGGATGGCTGGAACTGGGGGAGGAGGGCGGAAGGCTTCAGAGGGCAATGGATGTGCCTTGTAAGGGATCACACCGGGACAAAATGTCCAGGGGCTGGCCAAACTTTGTCACCGCCTGTGCAGAAGTCACCAAAACATTTTGGGAGGTGTGAGAAGGAGACAGAGGTTGTTGTTGGCAGGGGTCAAACGCCAGGCACCAGCGCTGGTGCACAAATGCAGTGACGAGATCACGTGAATCACTTGTGCAGTCTGAACCGTTCCAGTTCTAACTGTCCCAACCGTACCGTCCAGCTACGGCGGGTCAGCAGGCCTTCTGCCAGATTTACTCCTTGGTCCACAGAGGGGTACGTGTGCCTGTGCTTGGCCAGCTGGGGTGAGCATCCTTCTATTGCAAGTGCGTCTGCTAGTCAAGCTCACGCGTGCTAGCGCGCCTGTAGACACACCAGCTCCACGGTTGTCTGTGTGTTGGTGCTGTCCTCTGACCCCACCATACTCTCTCCCTCTTTGCTGGGACAACAGGAACAGCCCCAGAGACCTCAAATTTGACCCAGAACAACTCTAGCAATGACTGCAACAGCCCAAGAGACCTCGGACACCCTCAGAGCATCCAAGGGACACATGGGTGGCCTTGGGGAGACCCCAGAGAGCCCCAGTACTTCAGTTTGAATTGTTTCTTTACATTGATTTTTTTTTTCCTTTAACAGATACTTTTACTACATCTTGGGATATTTTTCAGCCCCTTCTGGTCTTACATAGCAATGTCGGTGATTAAGGATGCCTTTTCTAGTTTTGTAATGGTGCTGTTTCTCACATTCTTGTGCTTGGGCTCTGTGGTGGGGCAGCACGCGTCAGCTCTCGCCTCTCCAGGAGCTTTGACCTCCTTTTGACACTTCTCCCCCAATGTCATGGCACCCAAGTTAGGCCATCAAGCTCTGAATGGCTGGAGAATTGGACAGGTAAAAAGCGGTGTGAAAGTCGGCACCAGTTAATGGATCATACTCCACTTGGATGCTGGTAACATGTGGGGCTGCACTGGAAACTCTTCTGTTTAACCTCTTTATCGATGACATGGAAGAGGTGACCGAGCATGCTTTTATCGTGTTGGCAGATGACACCACGTTGGGAGGGATCAGTTGGTATGCTTCCAACAGGTCTACCATTCAGGGAGCACCATTCACCCTGGAGAAATGGGTTGACAGAAACCTGATGAAAGTCAGCAAGGACAAATGCAAAGCCCTGTGCCTCGGAAGGAAGACCACAAAAGTGCCGGTGGGGGGCAGAGTGGCTGGGGAGCAGAGCTACGGAAAAGGACTTGCCTGTCTTGGTTGGCAGAAAGGTGGACAAGATCCAGCAGTGCACCCTGGCAGCAAAGAGAGCAACTGAAGCCTGGGCTGGGTTAACAGGAGCATAGCCAGTAGACCAAGGGAAGCGATTATCCCCCTCTACTCAGCACTCATTAGATCACATCTAAAATACTGTTTTGGGGAGCCAGGAGAACTTGAACCCCCCCCTTACACATCCCAGGACCCTCAACTCCCTCGCCAAAGATACCACTGGTACCCCAATATCTCCCAGAATCCCCATTACCTCTGCCTCTCCGTGCAAGTCCTCCCTAGGATTCTCCCAGCTCTCCACACGACAAGCACTCCAGGTCACTCCAGGAAGCCAAGACCTCCCAGAACCACCTAGGAACCCCAAAGTCCCCAGGATCCCCCAATGCCCCCCACCTACCCTGCCATCTGCCCCAAAACCCTGGCACCCCCAGGACTCTCCTGTTCCCTCAGGATCCCCCATGCACCCCAAGATGCCTCTCAATCCCGAGACACACGCACACCCTCCCCCATGCCCAATGAACGCAGGCACCCAGAGCCCCAGTGCCCTCCGCCCACCGCTCCCCAGGGGACCCAGGCATCCAGGCAAGCCTGGTCCCCACCACCACCCATCCAGGACAATCAGGCCGTTGGTCTCCTGCTCTCCTCCTGTTCCTTGCGAGAAGCACCTGGAGGTCTGGGCTCCCCAGCAGAAACAACAAGACCCAGATGGGCAGTTCAGGAGCCACTTTTATTCAACCCAAGTGCAGGGGGAAATTGGGGGATCCCCAGCTCCCAGTGAAGGGGTCAGGGCAGGGGAACGAGTGTTCCTGGAGGCACGTGGTTTCAGTGTGGGGAGTCTTTGTGTCCCATGGGGTCCCCACAGTCTAGGGCATGTATCCTGGGGGTGGGGGGGGTGTGCTGGAAACCACAGGAGGAACCCATTGTGGGGAAGGGATCTGGGGGTGATTTTGTCCCATAGAGGTGCCCATGGATGCTACCTGGGGATCCCAGTATGGGCTGCAGAGCTTTTAAGCCCCTCTAAGTGTTATTGGGGGTGTCAGGAGATCTCAAGGGGACCTCAGGGCCGTTGGGGCCACGCAAGGCGGAGGGTACAGTGAGGACACAAGCCTGGAGGTCAGTATAGGCATGGGGCAAGGTGCCCCGGGTGATCCAGCGCCGGGCGCCCGGCTGGTAGGCGTGGATCAAGTGGGTGTCCCGGTAGGTCTCATGACTGTACCCTCCCAGTACGAGCAGCTCCCCCCCCAGCACAGCTGCGCCCCCACCTACATGGGCATGGGGCAGGGGGCTGAGGAGGACCCAGATGTCCAGCTTGGGGCTGTAGACCTCAAAGGCCAGCTGGTCCCTGTAGCCAGGCTGTCCATCCCGCTGGCACAGCCCTCCGGCCACATAGAGCTGCCCCCCCGCCTCCTCCATGATGTGCCCAGCTCGCTGGCCATTCATGGGGGCCAGGAGCGTGGCAGGCGCACCCGGGATGTAGCGCAGCATGGCTGCCTGGCACTGGCACGCCTCATCACACCCCCCTGACACGTAGAGGGCACCATCCAGGGCACATGCCGCGTGCCCGCACAGAGCCATCGGCAGGGGCTGGCACCTCCTGGGCAAAGAGAGAGGGAGGGGGTGAAGGGCGGGTTAAGCAGGGCTGCCCCATGGTGACTGCCTGCCCAGGAGTTCCCCAGGGAGCCATGGCTCCATTGACCGCTCAGTGCTCAACGCTGGCCAACACCCAGCGAGCCCCGGTGGGCAGCATCAGCTAACACATAATGGATGCCCAAGGGCCATCACTGTTCAACACTTTGTAGACCCCAAAAGACACCATTGGTCAGCCCACAGTGGACTCCCTAATGGACAATATTGGCCAACACCCAACAGAGCACCCAATGAACATAGCTGGAAGATGTTTAAATGATTCGTCTCACTGGCAGGTGGCCAACAGACCCTCAGTGAATACTATTGGCCAAAAACTCATTCACCACCCAATAGGCATCACTGGTCAACACCCAACGACCTCCAAGGGGCCCGGTTGCTCAACACCAGGTAGACCTCTCCCAAAGGCCGCTGGAGGCTCCTTTTCCATTGGAGGCTCAGTGGCCCAAAGACCACTCAGTGGGCACCACTGGCCAAAGCAAGGGGCTGCGAGGGCAGAGGAAAGCAGGTGTCCATGTGGAGCGGTCTCACCTCCAGGTGTCGTTGGCCAGGTCATAGCACTCCACGGTGTCTGTGCAGTAGAGGTCCCCCGAGGTGCCCCCCAGGGCATAGATGAAATCCCCAAGTGCCACAGCGGCAAAGCAGCTCCGCCCACAGGTCATGCTGGCCAGGCGCTCCCAGGAATCGTCCGTAGGCTGATACCTGGGTTTGAGAGGTGAAGGGGCAAGAGGCTACCTGTTACCTACAATGCCATGAGGTGATGTTGCCACCGCTGAGGGCAACAACCCAGCTACAACCAGCCAATCCCATAATGCCTTGGGGCCACGTGGTCCCCTCACATGGGAATATCGCCTCCTTCTGGGCAATACCAAACCCATAATGCCCTGAGGCATCTCCAGATAGGAGCCTCCCTGCCCTACCCCCAAAAAGCCTGTAACATCCCAGAGTAGAAGGGCACCTCCCAGTCCTACACCCAACCAATCCCAGAATGCCTTGGGGCCACTTGCCCAACTGCAATGCCACAATGCCTTGGGTCCATGGGGCAGCTCTAGCTCCACCAACACCTCCTCTGTCCTGGTGCCACATGGCACCTCTAGGTCCTCTGTAGCCCTCACCTGTAGACACTGGCCAGGGTGTCATGGACCCCATAGTAGCACTTTCCACCCAGGACGTAGAGGATGTTGCCCACCACAGCTACAGCATGGCGGAAGCGTGGGCCATCAGGAAATTGCCCCAGTGCCCGCCACTCCACCTGCTTCACCAGCCCCACAGCGCTGAGGTAGCGGTGGGCAAACCAGAGGTCTCTGCTGGGCTTTCGGGCAGCCAGGTTGGCCGTCAGTTTGTCTCCACCAGAAACCACCAGCACCTCTTGCAAGGAACGCACCCGGCATGGCAGCTGGGCCATGGGGGCCAAACTTGCTACCACAAGCTCGCGGAGGACCTTTGGGTCAGCTACCCCTGCAGTCACTGATGGGACCTTCTTCAGCTCCTGGCCAGACATGAGGGCAAAGCGAACAGATGACAGGACTTCCTTGGCTAGATCCTCTTGGCCATCTCCATTGGCCATAAGCCACCGGGATGCTGCTTCCAAAGCCTCCAGTTCATGGAGGACGTTGAGCCCGTCGGAGCGGAGGAGGCGGATGAGAACGTGTGCGGGAAGATCCAGGAAGGCCGGTGTGGCCACCACGCTGGGGAAGGTGGCCAAGATGTAGTCCTCTGCTACACGGCCCACCTGGGCCAGCCCGTAAGCCACAGCAAAGGCCAGCACGTCCAGGCCAGTTTCTGGTGTCAGGCCACGGGTGAAAACATCCAGGCAGAGGGTGAGGAGCCCCCAGGCCTGGTAGCGCAGGGAGGTCTCGGCTGCCTCCAGGACCGCGGGCCACGGCCCTGCCACAGCCCCTGTGTAGGCAAAGGAGAGGAGGAGACGCAGCTCGGCTGGGGACAGCCCTGTGGCCAGTGGGGCGGCGGGGTCGTGGGTGGCCTCCCGCATGGGGCAAGTGAAGAGGGCCCGGAAGAAGTCACAGGAGCAGCTCAGGGCCAGGCGCTGAACTAGGGGGAAGGAGGAAGAATGGTGGGGGCAGCAGGGTACCCTTGCACCATGCAGCCCTGTGGGAGCCCAGGTGCCCACCCCCCAACCCCCCCC